CCCTAATGTTTTATACTGTTTGTTAGGAGGTGTGAGTCAATGGCTTGAATTAATTCTAATTACTGGAGAGGCATATCCTGATTGAGCAAATAAAGCAGTAGGCTCACTTGCGCCAAGGCCATCTAATTAAATGCTAACTTTGGATAAGCTGGATGTGCGTGAAAGATTAATTTTTAAGAGGGTTTTATGACTCACTAAATAACGATTCGGTAAAAATCTTTCGCATTATATATCATTAGGCCATCTAATCTTAAAAGCGTTATAACATTAAGTCACTGAACTCCATTGTAAAGGAAGATGTGGTAAATCATGATTATTAACAAATTAATCATATTTTTTTCCCCTCCAGCAAGTAAGGAAGTGTGTATACTGTATTTGGTTTTGTGCTGAGAATTAAAAGGAGGCTTCTCTTGAAAGTTCGGTTTCAAATGGATTTTGGTGCTGCAAATGGAAAAGGGGGGGCTGTACGATAAATCGGGACGCTCAGGTTGAAATCCAAGATTCCCACACATCTCTCCGAAAGCTTTGGACCCCCTTCAGAGGTTATCTCTGGACTGTCATTTTTAATACCCCAGCAAAAGAGAATTATGAAATGCACGGGGCGCAGTTGTCCAGCAGGAGCTTTGATTAATTCATTTTAATGTTCATTAAACTTTCGATTCAATTAAACGGGAAGTGAATTTAGTTTCTGTCTCTTTGTCCCGGCTTTGTCTGCCTTTTGGAGCGTGGCCCCAGCGTGATACCAAAGGTCAGCTTAGTGGTCCTGGGTTTATTGGGGGGTTAAAAAAAAACCACATGTTTTAAAGATTAGATTGGTTTGCTGCCGTTTGGGTTTCTCAACCGGAAGTAATTGAGATTAAAAAAAGATGAAAGAGGAATATTAAACCACTGGAATTCGGCAAATTTCCTATCTGCTATTTTTGGGCGTCTTTCTTTTTTTCCAAAGGACCGAATTGTGTAAATAATTCTTCAGGGTTGATAATCGAATTGGCACCGGACGCGAATTTCCTTAATGTATATAATCAACACTTAGCCAAATAAAGTATTCAATTCAGTTCAACGTGGAGCACTGGAGCTGGTCCATTGGCTCAACCGAGAGTCCTCTAAGATTTGATCTTCCATCATTTCTTTTGGAATAAAATCAGTCCAGGTTCAACATCAAACTAGGAATTAGCAAGTCAGAGAGGGAAGGGGCAGATCTATTAAAAAAAAAAAAAAAAGAGTTACCAGTTTTTATAGCCATCCTATAAAGAGAAGCCCTTCGGAGATCGATGGCTAACTCAGACTGACTGAGAATAAAGCTGGAAGGGACCTTGGAGGTCTTCTAGTCGTGCCCAAGCAATGAAAAGCCACCGCGGTATTGCTTCACTTTTTCTACTTCTTTTGTCATGGAGATTCTCAGTCATCCAGGTGAGGGTAGTCGCAAAGGGGCTTTTTCAATATTGGATTCAATTCAATATTGGATTTTTCCAATATTTGAGGGGTATCACAGAGAAGAGGGGTTCAAGCTATTCTCCAAAGCCCCAGAAGGCAAGACAAGAAGCAATGGATGGACTAATCAAGGAGAGAAGCAACCTAGAACTAAGGAGAAATTTCCTGACAGTGAGGACAGTTAATCAGTGGGACTGCTTGCCTCCAGAAGTTGTGAATGCTCCATCACTGGAGGTTTTTAAGAAGAGACTGGACAGCCATTTGTCTGAAACATATCAGTTCTCCTGCTTGAGGAGGGGGTTGGATTAGATGACCTCTGAGGCACCCTTCCAACTCTGTTACTCTGTTGTCCAATGCAGTGGGGGTTCTGCTCCCCCTTCTGACTGCAAGAAGGCCTCCCTTTGGCAGACACAACTGTAGCTACCCAGAAATGCATACCGTACCATCCCCGCAGACCCCTTGTACCCACTCCCTACGAGAAGCGGGTGCGGGCGGTGCTTGTGGGTGCCCTGCTGTTTAAAAAAAAGTAAAATGCAAATGTTTTGCGCCTGCGATCCATTTGGTTTATGCACATCAGCAATTCAGGCAGCCTTCGTTCCCCATCCTCGTCATCTTCCCCGGGAAAAGATTAATGATGATAAAGCAGCAAAGGCCCAATTTTTTTTTTTATTCCAGTCTCCCAACATTAGAATGATATAAATAAGACTCATAAATCCACCCTAACCCTCTGACGGTATTCCCCAGGCGCCCCAGACGGAGAACGGGGTAGCTTCGTAGGACTTGCTTATCAAGGAAGAGACGACAGTCGGCGGGAGAATAAAAGTCACGCTGACTTCCTTCTAAGCAGCAAGAATTACAGGATAACCAGGCTGGAAGGGACCTCGGAGGTCTTCTAGCCCAGCCCCCTGCTCAAGCAGGAAACCCTATGCCATTCCAGACAAAGGGTTGTCCAATCTCTTCTTAAAAACTTCCACCCACAACTTCTGGAGGCAAGTCGTTCCACTGGTCAATTGTTCTAACTGTCAGGAAGTTTCTCCTTAGTTCCAGGTTGCTTCTCTCCTTGATTGGTTTCCATCCGTTGCTTCTTGTCCTGCCTTCAGGGGCTTCGGAGAATAAGTTGACCCCCCTCTTCTTTGTGGCAGCCGCCCAAATATTGGAAGACTGCTATCATGTCCTTCTCTTCATTATGATCGCTGTAGCCTCCCTATGGTTACGTGATCAAAATTCAGATGATTGACAACTGACTCATATTTATGACCGTTGCAGGGATGAATTGCTTGAGACTAGCGTGGCAAGCATCTCTCTTGCCTAAACATGAAGCACTCAAGTCTACCTTGACCTCTCTCCTTCCAACAGGGCCACATTGGCACAACCGCAACAAAAATAATTGATGTCTACCTCCCACTCCACGCCAGCCAGGAGAAGTTGCAACCCATGACGGTGGTGACAATTGCCAACGCCAAGGTGCAGGACTTGATTGGGCTCATCTGCTGGCAGTTCACGAGCGAAGGACGGGAACCTAAGTTGAAGTAGGTCCTTTCAGAGAGTCCTCTAAAATCTCTCTCTCTCTCTCTCTATAGATAGATAGATAGATAGATAGATAGATAGATAGATAGATAGATAGATAGATAGATAGATAGATAGATAGA